CCTCTCCCACCTCCTCAGCAGCACTAAGGATGTCAGACTGCAGCTTAGGCCTGCTCTCCACTGGCAAATGGACATCCCCCGAGGGCTCCCGGGCTGCCAGAGGGATGTCTGATTGCCAGCTTACGCCCAACCCCCCAGGGAGCAGCCCTAAACCAGCAGGTGGTCATCCCCCAAGGGGTCCCAGACTGTGAGAGGGCACAGGCCGGGCTGAGGGACACCAGTCCCCCCCCCCCCCCCCGCACAAATTTTTGTGCACGGGGCCTCTAGTATTATATAAGATATTTGATTTACTATCCTGCTGAATATGTTTGTGTCCACATTCATGAGGGATATTAATCTATAATTTTTTCTTTCTGTAGCAGAAAGAAATTTATTTAAACTAAAAAATAAGCATAAAAAACAAAAAACACCTTTGACTGACAGTTATGCCAAATATAGGAGTCTTTTACAGGTTGACAGTTTTATTATTTTAATGCTTTTAAAACATTGGCTCACTGCCTCATGGCCTCCAAAGCTCTTCATGAGAAATCTGCCCTTATTCTTACTGAGGATCCCTTGTATGTGACGAGTTTATTCTCTCTTGCTATTTCAAGATTCTTTGTCCTTTGAAAGTTTGACTATAATGTGTCTCAGTGTGGGTCTCATTGAGTTAATCTTACCTGAGTTCATTAAACTTCTTGGATATTTGTATTCACGTTTTTCATCAAATTTGGGAATGTGGTAACTCTGGAAATCAGATTCTTCCCCTTCTGCGAGGCTTTCCAGGTTCTGAATTATTTTTATTTATTGTCTTTCTTTTTTTTATTATTATAGGCTGTCTCTGGGCCAACAATGAGACTGCTGCGTAAACTAAGGTCTTTTCAGGTTTCACCGGAGCCTTTTCCTATATGACCACTTTCTAATTTTCCCTGTAGATGCAGTTGCTTTTTTAATGTTTGGTCCCCAAAAGGAAATAAACAGGAAAAATGAAGTGGGGGAAGGAGAAGAGCACTGGCCCTTTAAGTCTCATGGTAGTCACTTGGGGGGAGTGAGGCCTTGCTTGCAACAAAGCAGGAGAGGCAAGAACAATGGTTGCCTGCCTCTTTTTTTTTTTTTTTTTATTGTTTGAAGTATTACAAAGGGTATTACATATGTGTCCTTTTTTTCCCCCCCGCCCTTGACAATCCCCTGGCCTCCCCTACCCCCCAGTGTCTTATGTCCATTGGTTATGCTTATATGCATGCATACAAGTCCTTCGGTTGATCTCTTACCCCCCTCCCTCCTGCCCCCCAACCCTCCCCGGCCTTCCCGCTGCAGTTTGACAATCTGTTTGAGGCAGCTCTGCCTCTGTATCTATTAATGTTCAAAAGTTTATAATGGTCTTTATTATCCATGAATGAGATCATGTGGTATTTTTCCTTCATTGACTGGCTTATTTCACTTAGCATAATGCTCTCCAGTTCCATCCATGCCGTTGCAAATGGTAGGAGTTCCTTCTTTTTTACAGCAGCATAGTATTCCATCGTGTAGATGTACCACAGTTTTCTAATCCATTCATCTACTGATGGGCACTTAGGCTGTTTCCAGATCTTAGCTATGGTGAATTGTGCTGCTATGAACATAGAGGTGCATATATCCTTTCTGATTGGTGTTTCTGGTTTCTTGGGATATATTCCTAGAAGAGGGACCACAGGGTCAAACGGGAGTTCCATTTGTAGTTTTTTGAGGAAACTCCATACTGTCTTCCATAGTGGCTGCACCAGTCTGCATTCCCACCAGCAGTGCATTAGTGTTCCTTTTTCTCCACATCCTCTCCAGCACTTGTCATTTGTTGATTTGTTGATGATAGCCAGTCTGACAGGTGTGAGATGGTACCTCATTGTTGTTTTGTGCCTGCCTCTTTGTTTGCAAGTGTGTATCAGATGAAGCAATTATCTATCAGAGCACAGATCCCCAAAAGTTAAAGGACAAGGTCTTTTTTTGACCATCCTAGCTCCCACAAGCTGTTGTAAGCTACTCCTGAAACAGGGATACAGCTGCCTCCATGTGACTGGGGTGGGGGTGGGGGGGGTTCAGGGACGGGTAGCAGCTACTGTGCTAAGATCTGAAAATTAACCATAATTTCCCCCTGAAACTTGCAAGCCTTCAACAGACTCAAGAGTTCCAAATTAGTTACAGATTCAGGCGGTGCAATTGTTGTCTAGGTAGGCAGTTATGATTCCTGATGCTTCTTATTATGCCATCTTCCCAGAATCCTCCCTCAATTATCTTTTAAATTAACTAAAAAAAAAAAAAAAGGGAGAAAGTCATGTGTCCACATAATTACCACTGTACACAAGTTTCCACCTGGTATCATTTTCCTCAAGTCTGAAGGATTTCCTTTACCATTTCATAAAACAGAAATCCAGAAGGAGGCAATTAGTCTCCAGCAATGGTCCTCAACTCCAGCTGCACAAACTATATATATAAAATCACCTAAGAAGCTTTAAAAACAAATAAAAAACAGTATCTAGACCCACCCCAGCCCCAGCCCCAACAGAGATTTTAAAATTGGTGTGGGGTAAGTCAAGGCATCTGTATTTTCTTCAAAGCTTCCTAAGCTATTTTATTGAGCATCCACGGTTGAGAACTTGTGATGCATACCTAGGCATAGTGAAACCACAGAACAAAAATAAAGACAAAATATTAAGAATAACTACAGAGAAAACTATCTACAAAGTAATAACATAAACTGACAATAGACTTTTCAACAACAGAAGCCAAAAGAGTAAAATAGTACATTCAAAGTGCTGAGAGAAAATCACTATCAACCTAGAATTCTAAATAGCTATCATTCAATAGCGATAGTGAAGTGGACATTTTTAGTCAGTGTGAGAGGTTACCATTTACAGAGCTCTGCTGAAACAGCTATTAAAGAGGACATGCGCTTCAGGAAAAGAAACAATGAACTTAGGAAATGGGATACAAGAAGAAATTCAAAGTACAAAAACAAAAACTGCCGCCTGCTAAAGCTAGATCTCGTACTTCTTTCTTAAGTAATCAATCAACCAAGATCAAAAAGACTACCTGACCTCAATCTTTAAAATAAGAACAAACATATAGGCCCTACCCTCGATATACTATAACTCTGGGGAATAAGGGCAGAATTTTTTTTTTAAGCCCACCAGATCAAAAGGTTTAAGAACTTCATATTCTAGCTTATCCTCTATCCAGTAGTTCTGAGTATGGTTCCTCAAATGGCAGCATCACCTTTACCTGGGAACTTGCAGAAATGCAAATTATCAGGACCGACCCTTAATCTAATAAATTAGAAATTCTAGGGATGAACTCAGCAATCAGGCTTTATTGAACTAGCCCTCTAGGTGATTTGGATGCCAGCTCAAGTTTGAGAAAGCTGATTTAGTCTCATGCCCGTATTACATGGTCCATACTTCTACATGAACAAATCCTATGCTGTTGCTCTGCCTACAAAATCTTTCCATTTAGTCCTCTAGAGCAAGCATGTCAAACTCGCTGTGAGTTTGACATGCTTCCTTAAGAGCAATGTATCATGGCTGACCAATTTCCATATATTTTTAATTTCTTCATTCAGTTTTCTTTTCATCTTTTGCCTTAACTAAACCTGGTCCACCTCTCTCAGTGTGTCCTCACATAAAGGCTGTTCACTTTCCCAAACCCCATGTACCTCAGGGACTGGAAATTGAGGTCCACTTGTTCCCTAACTCCCTATAACTCCAAAAACATCTAGATAAAAATCTCACCTTTTCTGAGACTCTCCATTCTCATGGCTTCAGCTGCCAGTGTGTATGATATTCACTTCCAAATGTCTCTCACAATGCTGAGACCAGAAGAACCCACTATCTACCTGACACTTCCATCTGGATGTTCCAGAGAAAGTCAAATTCAATAATAAAAATCCGAACCTGCTATGCTGTCCAATTCTGGTCTTCCTACATTTTCTAATATAAAGAGTGGCATCACCATCTATTCAATTTTCCAAGACCAAAACCTGGAAATCATCAATGGAATCTCTTATTCAAACATTAATCACCAACAGTAATCACCAATAACTATCAATTTCACCTTCCGTAAGTTCTATAATTCTCTCCGTCATAATTGTTACTGCTACTGTATAAACAGTCTCTTAACGGCTCACTCTCCCTCCAGTGTTACACTTTCCCAACTTGTTTTACAGTCTCCAGTCTCCAAATTTCAAAAATATTTTTAAATCAAGTGGTACCTTATGGGATGTGAATTACATTTCAATTTTTTAAAAATATATATATTTTTATTGATAATATTATAGATATCTCCCATTTTCCTTCCCTTTACTCCCTTCCTTCCTCCCCATCCCCTCCCAAGGTATGTTTCAATTTTTAAAAATCATGTTGGCATATTAAAATTTTAACACTTCTATTCTAAATCCATCATCATTCAATACTACAAGAGTTTGCACCTAGTTCTTTTACTCAATTGTGAAGGGTCACCAACTTATTGATAGCCTTATCACAACTGTGTAGCACACAGAACATCAAACTAAAAAGGAATTATCAAATTAAACCCAAATTAATCTTTAAAATTTATGAGAACTATAACTCTTAATTTCACATATATGAACTTTACTGCAATAAATTTTAGTTTTTGTTATACATAAACTAGATGCCAGGTGCACAAAATTTGTGCACGGGTAGGGTGCCTCGGCCTGGTCAGCAATCAGGGCCGATTGGGGCCTTCCGGTTGCCAGTCGGGACCTCCCTTCCCCAGCTGCCGGCTGGGGCCTTCCTTCATTCCGCACCGCCCCCTGGTGGTCAGCGCACATCTTAGCGAGCGATCAAACTCCCGGTCTCCCTGTCAAACTCCTGAGGGGATACTTTGCATATTAGCCTTTTATATATATAGGTAGTGGAACTTCAACATGTTTATAAGATGAGCAAAACAAGAACACTGTAAAAAATTGGGGGTAAACCCATGGAGAAAAAGACATTTCAGATTTTGAAAAGAAAAAAAAAAAGAAAACTCACCATACACACCTATAGAAGGACTAGAATTGTTCATGGTAAAAGGTCCGTTAATGATGCCAGAAGAAAGAAGCTCATCAGATCCCCGCTGAAAAGCAAGAGTAATAGTCTGTTAATAAAACAAATCTCAAATAACAATCCATATTTACTACTAAAAACATAAAAGTCAGTAAATTACTTCACCTGAATATCAAGGCATTTAAGGGGAAGTACTCAAGAATCACAAAGGCTAAAGGTTGGAAGTGAAGTTTACAGAAAAGAAAAATTACTGAATATGTACATGACAGTTATTAAAAAACAGAATGGCCATCACATAACTGGAGGCATAATCCTGAACCTTTTTTGATTAAACCCAATCCTCTGACATGCTACATGTGAAGTACCAGAAACCATATTTAGGATTTCCATCCTGACATTGCTTCTGTAGTGTGTGTGTGTATGTGTGTGTGTGTGTATTTTTTTTTTATATTTTATAAATAAAATATATTTTATATTTCTTTATTGATTTCAGAGAGGAAGGGAGGAGAGAGATAGAAACATCAATGATGTGATGAGAGAGAATCATTGATTGGCTGCCTCCTGCACACCCCACACTGGGGATGGAGCCCGCAACCCAGGCATGTGCCCTTGGCCGGAATCGAACCTGGGACCCTTCAGTCCACAGGCCAATGCTCTATCCACTGAGCCAAGCCGGCTAGGGCTGTAGTATATTTTTAATTGCACTTAGTACATTAAGAATATTTAGTATATTAAGTATGTTAAGTTTTTGTAATATATGTGAATGCAAATATTTTGTGCAGCACTCCCTAAGAATTCTGGTTTTTTGATACCTTCTTTTTTAGGTTGAACACAAAGATGTAATTTATTTCTATACTGGCCAAATTCTTTTATTCACTGATTATTTTTTCCATCCATTAATCTTCAAAATGATCTTTAATGTGTACTATTTCTTAAACTACCATTTAAGTAAATACTTACTCTATTTTTCAGGTAAGAGTTTTGACCAATTCCAAACCTGAATGGTCAATGCCAAAGGAAAAGTCACATAGACTTTTCATTATAACCCTAAGATCTATTACCAAGATTTAAGTTTACATTTAAGAAGGATAATAAATACTATGCACAGCCCTAGCCAGTTTTGTTCGGTGGATAGAACACTGGTCCACGGAGTGAAGGGTCCAGGGTTCAATTCCGGTCAAGGGCATGTACCTCGGTTGCAGGTGGCAACCAATCGATGTGTCTCTCTCACATTGATGTTTCTCTCTATCTTTCCATCTCCCTTCCCTTCTCTCTAAAAATCAATGGAAAAATATCCTTAGGTGAGGATTAACAACAACAAAAATATTGTGCACAGTGTTAAAACTAACCTATTTAAAATGTTACTATTTGCTTAACTTGGTCAATTTTTAAGAACAAATATTTTGGTCTACTAGATGATAAAACTTAATCCCCAAACTATCCTACAAATATTACAGAAGCAAAAGTGCCACAACATATATTTAATGTTTAGATGTTAGTACCTCCTCTGCAAGGAACAACTTCAGTCTTTGCTGAAGAAAGGCAAACTACTAATGTGTTTGCTTAATAGAAACACAATTATTTAAACAATTTCTGTACTACACATCTAGAAATTATCCTCTTTGGTTCTTTCACTATAAGTTTATAAAGACAGCTTGGGAGAAAGAAATTAAGTAAGCTCTAAGATAAAATAAATTTTAAATATGCCCAACATGTTTTTATATTAGAAAACAGATTATACCTTCTATACATACGTGAATTTAGTATCAATGTTTCTATATGTAAATTGAGTTAATCTGATCTTAGAAACCACTTAGAGATCATTTTAGCTCTTTTCTAGACTTGAAGGATTATGTTAAAATGTCAACTAAACATTAATTCTATGTGGTTTACAGATTGAAATGTAAAAAGCAAAATAATGAAGACTCTAGAAAATAATGAAAATAGCTATCTTTATAATATTGGAGTAGGGAAACATTTATTAAACAAGAAACAAAAACAATTATAAAGGAAAATATCAATAAACTAGACAACAATGAAATTCAGAATTTCATTTACAATAATATACAAATATTGAATCATTATGTTGTATACTTAATCTGAAACTAAAATATGTCAAATATATCTCAACTTTAAAAAATTTTATTTAACAAAAGACATCATTAGCAGATTAAAAAGGCAAGTCAAAGAATGAGAGTAAATATCTTCACTATCTATACCCAACAAAATATTTATATCCACAACTTACTAAGAAAAAAGGAGGAAAAACTCCCCACAAGGAATTAATAAGAAACAGTCAAGAATAACAGAACATGACAAGAGAATTGAATAAGCACCTCAGAAATAAGATGGTAGACTTTATTACTATTCCAGAGTATTTGTGCCCTCTGCTTTTTCTGTGAAAAAACTATTCATCCCCAACAATGGCCATGTGACTTTTAATGCCTCCTGCGAAAGGAGGACACCTCCCTGGTCTACTGACCCTGAGTATGGTTTTAAGATATGCCTTGGCCTATGGAATATGAATGGACATGACCTACACTAAATCCAAACAGAATCTTCAAAAGATAGTAGTTTTCTACTATTTTTCCCCCTTTACCTCTGAAACAAGAATATATCCTAAACAGGGGCTGCTCTTTCAGCATGATTCCTAGAACAAAAACATGTATAGCTACGTAAGGACCACCAACATGGTAAGTAAATAAATGTATTTTTCTCAGCCACATTGAAATGACTAATACCATATCCAATAAACATATACCAAAAAAATGCCTAACCAGTTTGGTCATCAGGGAAATGCAAGTTTAAACCACAATGAAATACTAGAATATTAAAAAGACTGAAATATCAAGTGTTGATAAGAATGTAAAGTGACAGAACTATTACATATTGGTAGAGGGAGTGTAAATTGGGACAACTTTGGAAAAATGACCCAATCTACTAAATTTTATTATATGGAATATCCTAGGATCCCTATGTATTTATTGTACTCCTATGGATACACACAAGAGATTGCCTGCTTATGTGCACCTAAACATCTGAGAATGTTCTCAGCAGCATTATTTCTACTAGCCAACTGGAAACATCCTAATGGCATTAAGTGTAAAATAGGTGAATAAACTTTTGTAAATGTATTCAACAATTTATAGCAATGAGAATGAACTACTGTTGGTCCACACAATAACATAAATGAATCTCACAAACATAAAAGTCACAAAAGAATGTCCAGCCAGCATGGCTTAGTGATTGAGCATCGGCCCAGGAGGTCACGGCACATGCTCAGGTTGTGGGCTCTATCCCCAGTAGGGGGCATGCAGGAGGCAGCCGATCAATGATTCGCTCTCATCATTGATGTTTCTCTCCCCCTCTCCTTCTTCTTCTCCCTCCCTCTCTGAAATGAATAAAAATGTTTTTTAAAAAAGGAATGCATGCTATTATTGCATTTAAAGAGAGTTCAAAAATATAGTCAAAACTAAATTATACATCAAAACTATATAAATGCAAAAGATGGAAGTTGTATACCTTTCTCACACCATATACAAAAATTGACTCAAAAAGAGTGTATACCTAAACGTAAAACTATAAAACTCTCAGAAGGAAACATAGAGGTAAATGTTCATGGATTTGGGTTACAGAAGTGGTTTTTTAACACCAAAAGCACAAGTGACAAAAGAAAAAAAGATAAACAGATAAATTATACTTCATAAAAAATCAAATCTATAGTATTTCAAAGGACACAATCAAGAAAATGAAAAGATAAGCCAGAGAATTAGAGAAGATACTTGAAAATCTTGTAACTTACAAGGGACTAGTATTCAGAACATACAAATTCTTACAACTCAATAATTAAAAACAAATAGCCCAATTTTTAAGAAGGCAATGATTTGAACAGGTACGTCTGCAAAACAAGATGTACAAATAGCCAATAAGCATATTAAAAGATGCTTAGCATTATTAATCATTAAAGGATATGCAGGAGAAACCAAGATGGCAGCATAGGTAAATACCTGAAATTGCTGCCTTGCAACAACCACTTCAAAAATACAACTAAAAGACAAAACAGACATCATCCAGAACCACAGGAAGGCTGGCTGAGTGGAAATTCTACAACTAGAAGGAAAGAGAAAAGCACACTGAGACTCAGAGGAGGTGTGGAAATAAAGTGCAGAGGTATGGAGGCACCCGCGGAAAGGGTTGGCAACTGAGGACAAGGTTGTCTTTTTCAATCGGGAAGGAGTCTCAAGCTCCTGACGGCTCTGAACTCCAGTTCCGGGGGAGTCTCTGGGGACCCAGACTCATACGGGGAGAAACTGGACTGTCTGGCATTGGGTGGAACTCAAGGGCAGCTTTCTCTGAGGTGCTTGCAGCCATTACGGCAGGACACTGAAACCCGGGGCCTCTTGGGCAGGGCTGAGGATCAGCCATAGCTGTTTGCTCCGCCCTGTTGATTCCCTGAGACCCCACCCCACCCAAACTGTGAGAAGAGGCTTTTGTATATGAATGGCCTGGCCCTTTGCAATCTAAAATTACCTAACAAACTGCAGCTGGGTCAGAGAGACACAGAACATCCAAAAGAAGGCCCAAGGCCCCACAGCAGCTTGCACTGCTTCACAGCTGGGCCTCATCTGGGCACTTCCAAACCCCAAACAAAGAAGAGGAATCTGCAGATCTCTCTATAGCTCCTGTTAAAACATTGTTTGCGGGTAGTTTTTATTGCACGCTAACAGGTGGCTAATTTTTTGCGCAAATGGCAACATTCAGTAAAATTACGATAACTTTAGTTTACGTATTTATATGTTACCCGCATTCTACCGCTAGTCTATAAAAAAACGTATTAATACGTGTCCCGCGCTCTACTAAACTGGTAGAACATATAAATACATAAAATGTATAAATACGTTTCCCGCACACAATGTGTTAAGTAGCCTCAAGCAGAGGCTAAATTAGCACCTCCTTAGATCCAAGAGCCAGTGTACCCAGTGGTCAGAGGGGGACCATCCAGATTACTACTCCTCAGATCCATAAGGGACACACTCAGGGTGCAGACTCAGTGAGCACCAAAGCCCCACT